GCTGTCCAAATTACTACCATATCCCAGAATTCATAGCGCGGCCCAGCCAAACTCCAGTTTCCAACAATGGCGGCCGCTACTAAGTTTTAAAATTACTCATACTAATCTTTCTGGGTCACAAAATAAACTTTTAAAATATTTTCAGGCGAGAAAGTAGTTGTGTAAACATCGAATATCTGCTCGGTTTATCAAGATATCCCATATTTGCAAAAGTGCTTCGACGTTTTCAGAGGCGTCTGCTACCCACCAGCTCGACAGCTAGCCGGGAGCTCGAGGGTTACTGATGCGGCCGAGAACGGCACAACTCCCGGCACATCATTTTCAGATCACCGCGGAGTTTCGCTGCTCGGGTTAAACGTAATATATAAGTCACTTAGACAACCTAAAAATGTTATTGTTGGGCTTTTTTCAGTGTTTTGTTTGTTCGTGAGTAAATCGGTTTGGCTGAGATTAAAGTTATTAGATTAGATAAAATAAAACTTTATTAATCCCCCGGGTGGGTTCCTCCTTGGTTTTCACACAGCTGACTAAACGTCAAACAGAAAACTTATTAAACAGAAGTATGAGACAGTCGAGAATTTACACCAGTGTCTGGTTATATTTTAGATAGCAAGAAGCAGACGGCCGAGTTTATTAAACTCCACCGAGACAGCGGTGACGCTAATCAGAACTAGACCGTCCAATTTCACGCCTTTAAATTTTAAAGGCGTGTTTGTGTGTGTTTATACAATTGCTATTATGTTTGAACTTTATGTGTAATGTTACTGACTGCAGAGATCAGTAAGATGTGTGTATTTTTATTTATTAGTTTTATTTATTTAATATTATTTTTAATTGAATGACTGTCTAGTAGTTCACAGATGTCGAAAAACTGAGTGTGGTAAAGCCACTGATTTTGTTTATGTATATTTCTGCAATCTGCACATTGTACTGACTTTCATTTTAATGTTTACACCAGGGTTCCTTGTCAGCACTTTATGCTCAGATGTTTGTAAGCTAAAAATAAACTATTGTGTATGTTCAAATATACTGTTGTGATTGAAGAAGTTAAATAAAAATGTCAGTCATCAATTCATGCATCACCTCATGTCATCATAACAGAGGTCTGTCTTCCAGGAAAGAACAGTTTAAAATTAATGTAATATAGTATTGGCCATACTATATGATGTATTGCTTGTCTTTGTTTAATAATACAGAAGACAAAGACCTTAAAAAATAATCGCATATCGCATCGCAATCGCAATATTGGGGCAAAAAATCGCAATTAGATTATTTTCCATAATCGTTCAGCCCTATTTTGCGTAACTATTTTTAAATCTCTGTAGAACTGGAACCACTTAAGGTAGCACAATATTTTTTTTTGCATATGAAACCGGAGGAGTTGTACTTACATGTTATGCCATTAGCTTGTCCTAAGTCATGGTTTCCTTCCACATATAGCTTTGCAAAAATTGCATATAAAGCACTGGCAGCAACAAAAACATAATATATTCCACGCTTTGCCGATCCGATCAGCTGTTCATAACACTTCCTAGGTTGGAATAGACACCAGCGCGAACTACTGTATGTCCGCCATTACCTGCCCGAAACCGAAGTGACGTCATCTTCGTGGAAAAAGTAGTTTTTTACCTTCAGGGCCTTATAAGCCTTTGCTGGTGTTTTTAAAAGTCATGTTTGACTTTTCTGAATAGTTTCTGGGATGCTTAGGACTCAAATTGCACTGCTGGAAATAGTTTATTGTGATGCACATGCAGTTTTTTTTTGCAAATTTGCATTACAATATTTATTTTAGTTTTTCCTGCAGTATATAAAAATTGGTGTTTCTCAAAAATGAATTTTGTATTTACAGTTTTTAGGAATAAACCTCTTAAATTTCTCTAAATATATATATATATATATATAAAAAAAACAAAACAAAAACGATTATCAAATTTTTTTTTGCAGTTTATTGCACTTTTTTGCAATTTATGTAGTTTCTATTGATTTAATGCATACATATTATTAAAATTTGGGCTATAATGGTTGTATTGATGTATAGCAACTTGAAATGCTCCCAAAAATGGCACTACAGCATGTAAAAATATAAAGATAAGCTCTGGCGGACTTGGTTCTATGGTAGGTCTTAAAGGGTTAAGAAAGCCTGCCTTGGAAAGTTCAGACAGTGTCAAGGGATAATGTTAGTCATACTTAATATTAACTTTCAAGGTTGATAGAATTGTAGAAACTCTGTTTTTGTCTTATTTATTGTATTTCTATGTATGTTTGGACATGTTTCAATAATTCACTGCACCTGTTTCCAATTTTCCTGGCAAAATATAGAGGAACGAAGGGGGACTAAAGACCTTTGCACAGAACTGTATGTTCCTATTTACACCTGGTATTAAAATACACCTTGAGATATCAGATTACAGTGGAAAGTGCTAAATAAGTGTAAATGACCACCCTGACTCATTTCAGCGCATGAAGTCCAAACACTTGCTGAAGTTGTCGCATATGACTACCTGGTGTATAAACTACAAATGCATCGTCAACATGGACATAAGAAGAAAAGATGTCCCGAGAAAGGACATGGTGGTCCTTCATCTTGTCCTCTACCCTTTTTGCAACCTGTGAATGACTTTGCCCTGTCATTCTCCTCATACATGTATATTGGTCCTTGAAACATTGTGCTAGCACTCGCTAAAATATAATCTGTTTCTTCACTGGTGACAGATGCATGTAACAATGGTGCACTGGACCCTTTGACATTAATGAGATCCAAACACAAGTGGCACAGGTTTAAATGACGATGTGCCTCTGCTGTCCACTTGTGATCCAGTCACCCCGTACATATTTTAAAACCAAGTGCAAAAAGAGGTCTGTCAGACCTCTTTAGCATGCACCTCATCTCTGCTCGATGGTTGTGGGTTGAGACTACAGCCATTAGCTAGAGGATAGGCCGCCCAATGTTCAGAAAATGTTCCTGGTTGCATTGCGGGAAACCTAAATACCAAAGTTTGACATTGAAGAAATGTGTGGAGAATCTTTGGTTCTGCTGTAAGAATTTTGGCACTTTAAAAAAAAGGCTTATCAGCATTTAAAATGGCTCTATGTGCTAAATCGTTGGAGTAATCTTTTTGTGGTACATTTTGCAGCGGATATCCACATTCAATTGAGGTTAAAGGTTAACTCTGAGGGATTTATTACTATTGACTTTTTGTTGTTCGTGGCAACGCTGTGTTAATGTCACAAAATCCATTCATGAGTCATCTTTGCTGTGTGTTGAATGCCCCATAAAAGCAGTCCCCCTTTCAACAAAATACTTTACTGTAACCGAGTTTTAACCAACGCAGCTGCATTAATGCATCTTTAACTTATATTTGAAACGATGATAGGAACTCGATGCTGTCAGGTTTTATGTAATAGTGAAATAAAGAGAAAATGAACATATTTTTAGAAACAAAGTTAAGAGGGGATTTTATTTCAAAGCAGTCTATCTTGAGACTTTAGTCATTGTGCAGAGATAGCAGAATCTCTACAAAAGTAAATCTAGCAAAAATCTCTACTGGAGACTATTTATTTAGCTGTGTGCTCGCATAAATTTTTGACAGATTGCCTGTGTGTTTCCATCAGAAGCAATCTGAAGAGTTATTCACTTCTTAACAACCGGACTTAGTGCTGCAATGCGGGGAGAAAATAAATAGACTTAGTGAGAGGATTTATGAAAGTGTGTGTGTGTGTCTGGTGAACCTTTTGAAGATGGTGCTGAGAGCGACATGCGCTGTTGTTGTCATTCTTAAGCGACCCCCCTCCTGCCCATCGACACTGACTGATCATAGGACTGTAGCATGTGTGTGTGTATGTGTGTGTGTTTGGGTTCTAAGAGACAGCGCCTCCCTGCTGCGAAGTACAGAGTCAGAGGCAGCAGGTGCAGCTGACGCAGATTGGCTTTTAGCAGGCAGGGCCAGTTTGGGGGACAGAAAGGGAGAGAATGAGCTGAGAGGCGATAGAAGAGAAAGCTCAAACAAATACAACATCAGACCTTTGAACAGAACTGGATAGATGAGGTCACCGTGTTTTTAGCCCTTGGACAGTATGTGAGGAGGAAGGGAACAGGACCCAGAGTGTGCTGTGGAGGCATCTGACTTATTCTTGGCTTCAATGGCGCATGTGAGTAATGATTTAAAAAAACAAAGAAAAAAATCCACACAAAAGATTTTGTGAAGGTTAAAAGAGAAACTTTTTAGGAAGCAGGTAGTTTATTGTCGAGCCAAATCTCCAATAAGTTTAGAACAAAAACCTTGCTGGTCGTAGCCAATTAGAGTTTGTTTCCCTGTAAAATCATCTCAAGTATAGGATTTTTCTTGCCATTCTTCTTGTTTAATTATCAGTGACGTGTTGAGGAACTGCTGAAGAGATGCGAACTCTGCGGCTTTGCATTTAGTCGCCTACATCAGCTCTGGCCTGGGCTCTTCATTGTGTCGACGAGAGCCCCTATCTCTGCCCGCACAAGTCAAGTGACATAAAGACGCACTGTTCGGCGTGTCTTTGAAAGGAACAATTGTGGCAGAGAGAGAAAGGCAGAGAAAGTGATGGGTGGGCTCCAGCCAAATAATGGTGCTGAAATGCTGTGCGCTCTTGTGTGATAGGCTTCTGTATTACAAAGAAAAGTAGTCCTGTCTTAGTTCATTTCATTATACTGATTATTCTGCAATAACAACCGCTAGAGATGACAGTGTGCGTTCATCTGTGCATCGTTTTCTAGTATGTGTGCATAATAATATTATTATTATTATTATTATTATATGAATCGGTCTGCTACTTGCGTTGGGATCAGAGTGATGAAGGAGAGGGAAGTGCTCTGAATGCCCTTCATCTGTCTGAATGCTTTTCCCTGGCTGTAAAACACATCCACGCAGGTTCAGCTCCTCTTCTTCTCCCCCCCCATTGCTGGCTGTCCTCCTCCACAGACATTGGCCGCCTCCCCCCTGTCTGTCCATCCTCTCTGCACTCAGATAACCAGTCAGTGGTACACCTCTTCTTCTACGACATTTGTCATTGGTTGATGTGTGCTGTGAATGCAGATAAATTCCTTTAAGAGGCAGTCTAGACTCAGCTGGCTGTGCTGCTCGCTCTCTCTCTCTCTTTATCTCCCTCGCTCTTGGTGGTTAGCTCGCGCCGTCCTCTCTCCTGCAACACCACCACAACCTGCCGATTCCTCAGTAAACCTCTTCTGCTCCTTCTCTTCCCCTCTCCTCGTTCATCATCAGTTTTCTTCCCGTCTCTCTGCGTAATTTTATTTCTGATCAATCACTCGCCACTCTATTTCCCAGTCTGTTTTCTTTTCCATACTGCCATTTCCCTCTGTCCCCCTCTACCTCCCCTCAAAAAATACATTTCGTCTTTGACGTTTATTCATTTCCACCACTGTCCCATCTCCTCTTGATGTGAAGTGTCATGAAGGTGAGTGGTGCTGTTTTAAAGGATTTGATCTTTCTGTACTTGGCTTCCTGTTTCTCATAGTTTTGTGTTATTAAATATAATCTCTCTCCGTCTCTTAACTTACTGAGCCATCTGGTAGATGCGAGCATCCGGTGTCCTTGAAGGCACTGCAGTTGCGTATGCTTCAGGTATAACAATTAGCCGGCTAGTAGGATGCTGCTGTGAGTCATCATCTTGACACTAGATGTATGTTCTAGTTCTGTTTCTTTCAGCATGTGCCTAGACAGGATGAGAGGAAGGGGAGGGGGCTGAATCAGTGTGAGGATAGAGGAGCCGCGTGTCAATGCAGACTGTAGCTCGTGACACAGTGTTTTGCACCAGCTGTGGCTGTGGTGCATTGGCATCTCCGGCGGATTAATGATCACTGTTCAGCAGTGATAACAAACAGTTAAACTAATCACTGGAAGTAGTTTGCACAGAGGCTTCGTGTTACAGTCCATGGCACACAACACGTGCGGCTAGGGGCCGATGCTGTAACAGGTGAAACGCTCTAGTAGTGTTACAGGTTAGCTGGCAGTCTCTGCATTTTTTGGGGTCAATAAACAGTCTAAAAATCAATATTTTATTAAACAGCTATCATCCATATGTTTATAAGAATGTATCAGATGTGTGAAGGAGTACAGTTTCGGCTACAGATGGCAGCTATTGAATAGAAACCCACTGTACACCTGCAAATGTAAGATTAGGTGTCAAGAATTGATAGAGGCCAAGAAGTGGAGCGAAGCGAGAGTGAATTGGCATCTAGCCTCCCCAAGAATGATGCTGCTGCTCTGTAATTGCTGGACTGGTTTAAAAAAAACATTCCAGAAAAAAACATTTTCAGGTTTAAATGTTTCTACTTTGCTTAATTTCTTCTGCACAGACAACACGAAGACCCACTTTAGCCTTGTTTGCCCATGTTGTGTCATTTCTGAGTTTGTACATGTGTGTCTGTGTCAGTGCTCTCATTATGGATACTGTTTGGCAACCCACATCCACAGGAAGAAAATGAGTCTGCCAGAAATAATCCTCAAGAGCAGGTTGCTTTACGGAGTCACTTTCCAGTGTTTTTATTTAGGGTTGCTTTCTTAGGTACTCTTGGCGCACCGTTGCTGTGCAAGGCCGTGGTTTGCTCTTTGGGAACAATTACACAGTCGCTGAAAGATAAAACCTCAAACTGTTAGCGGACAAACAAGGAAGGCCCACAATTTACAAGCAGATTGTGGAAATAAAGGTTAAACAGACGATTGAAATGCAGAACTGGTGGTGTTTATAATAAGATGTGGAGTGTGGGGTTTATTTTTTTAAAGAACATTTTACCTTGATATTTAAAAATTCTATTAATTTCCAATTTTCCATGTTCAGGAGGAACTGCCGGTTCATCTCCTTGGACTGACCCTGGATCCAAAAAAAATATCTGAGCTCTTATTAGTTTGTGATGTATTTTTGAAAATTAAGGCAGTGTCTCCAAATGTACCAATGTCCTTGTTATTTCAGTTTCATTTATTCTTCAAGCGTATGAAAGTGTTGCAAGGGTTAGCACTGTAGCTAACTGTTCAGTTCATTTCCACCATCAGGGCAGGGTCTTTGTGTGGGGAGTTTTTCTGTGTTTGTGTGGGTTCTCTGGCTTTAGTTAGTGGAGTTAGGTTAATTGGTAATTCTAAATTGCCCTTAGGTAAATGTGAGTGTGGGTGACCATAAACTAGGCTTAAGTATGGCCATGTACCAACTGGAAACATTTTGATGCAAAAAATTATAAAATTTCAACAGACAAAACAAACAAAATGAAGGTATTATACATATGATATAGGGCTGTGCGATATGACCAAAATCTCATATCCCGATATAAGAATTCTATCGTCCGATAACGATATAAATCACAAAAATGTAACATTTTCTGTAAATTCTGTGAATCTCGGGCAGCTCGACTTGCGGGAAGTGTTTCCAGCTGCGCGTCATGTAGCTGCAGTCGAGTGTTTTAACCGATGCATGAAACGATACACTTTTAGACATAAGTTGTAAAGGCCGCCGTTTTCTTTGCGTATTTATTACACGGCGTGCTGCGGGGAAAAGCCTGTTCTAACGTTTGAGTCTAAGGTTTCTTTTTTAGCACCTGACGGCTCTTTTTTACTTCTCATCCTTAAATAATCTGCTCTTTCACGTGATTCAGTTTATTTTGAAAAGTCTCAACAGGATCTTGAGCTTTATTGTGAAAGGTTTATGTGGAACATAAACAAGCAGACACGCGATGCTGTTACCGTAGTTGTTGCTAATCACAACCATAAAAACAGGGCTTGTCAAATAAAATATAAGAGAAAGAGAGAACTTTAAGAAATTAATATAGCCACTACAGTGACCATCAAAACCATGAAAAAATATTGCCGTAAACAGTTTATTTTGCGACACCACGAAACAAACGATAGCGTAAAATGAAACGATAGACTGTTTTATATCGTCATCGGATATATATCGTTATATCGAACAGCCCTAATATGATACAACATCCTTTGTGGAAATGGTGCCTGTTAATCGACTCTTCATACTCATCTGAAACTATTCAGGGCCACTGTATCCAGAATTTTCCCTTATAATTCCAGCATTTCTCAGGCACATTAATCGTGACCTGAATATTGCTCTTGCTCTTAAAAAGTCTATCAAAGTCACCTCAGTCATCCCTGGTGGTCTCAGGATCAGCACCTTGGAGAGTGGCAGCGGCACAGTTTTTAAAGGTTGTAAATGATTCACCTGAGCTGTGTTGGAAACGGGATGCTTCATTTCGGCAGATAAAATCACATCATATAAATATGAGCTGGACTTCCAAGTTTTTGTTGTTTTTTTTTTTAACCGACTCAGTGTTTTTACCGAAATGGCACCTATGCATTAGTTTCCTTAACAAAGCGGGTCAGACTCCTTCCTGTGTGCACCTTATCTCAAACATTTCTTCTAAGTTGTTTGAACAGTTACGTGATTTCCTCTCTCTGCTGCCAATTTTCAAATTAAATTTTGTATGCTACTGTTTCATCACCTGATTACTTCCCTGCATCCCAACGACCTGCAAAATAGAAACATCACGGAGTTCATTCTTATCCAGGTAGCAAAAAGCAATTGCAATTACATTTGCAGTGCATCAATTTGCATCGTGGTTCTGCTCCGTCCTTGCTTCTATTTTATTCTGCTAACACTGAGCGCATCTTTTACATGAATTATTCATTGATTGTTACAAGTGAATTACAGAAGGGCCGCTCTTGGTAAATGGCAATAAAATGGAAAGATAATAGGTTGTATGACACACCATGCAACGGTTCTTATTTTGCTTTCAGGCAAAAACTGTAAAGATTCATTCTGAAGGTCATGTAGCCAGACAGTCCATTTAGCTTGAATCACACACATGAATATGAAACTGAATCGCTTTGCTAAATGGCTGGATCCAAATCAGTGCATACTCCAGGTTGTGGTAGGATTATTGAGTTGTGTTCAAGGACGTGGGGTCATCTGTGAAAAAGCGTGATCGTTCCTGCCCCGCGTCTCAGATGTTCTCAAAGTTCAGTGCAGATTTCGCTGCCGTCAGATGTCACCAGTGAGAAATCAGACATGGAGAGCAGCAGGCAGGTGTTTGTTCTGGAAATGCGCTGTACTTCGGTCATTTTTAGCAGGCGTTGTCACGGACATCACAAAGTGTCGTTGTTTTTAGATTTTATATACACAGCTAGGAGTGGCTGTGAGTGAACTTCAGTCTAAGGGTCGGTCATGTTGAGTTTCTTTTTTTAGAACGTACTCAATAAAATTATGACCAGCTGACCTAGAGATCACACCCGCGCTCAAATCACTTTCTTATCTTTCTTCCATGTCACCCTAAGGCACAGGACGTTCAGTCTGCTTTTGCTGCAGATGTGTTTGGCTGCACATCTCTTCTGAGCATTGCCTGGTTCTGTGTGTTGCTGGACGCTCGTGTTTGACTGTGGTGTGTGATGTGGTCGTCTTGTGGCAGCAGTGCTCCCCGGAATAAACATTTACACAGTCTCTTGTTAGTCCTTCAGACTTTGCCAGAGTCAATACATTGACTGCAGAAAACATTTTTAGAGAGCGCTACTCAATGGCATGAAACAAGCCGCCACACATGGATTCTTTAACTTATTCAATAAAGATTCGGTGAGAAATCAGTTTAGGGTAGCTTTTCATATTGGTGCGGCCTTTATTAAACTGCCTTTTATTATGAATTGACATAATTACAAGCAGCAGATATGAGTCGGGAAGCAATTAAGTAATCAGAGATAAAATCATGCCCTGCCTTATATTGTCTTTTTTATCGTTCATCATTAATTTTCATTCGTTATGGCGATGGACACAAGTTCACGAGCTTGGTTTCTTTAACTTTTTAATTCATTCAATTCAGTTTTATTTATACAGCGCCAAATCACAACAACAGTCACTTCAAGGCACTTTATATTGTAAGGTAGATCCTACAATAATACATAAAAATTTGGCCAAGAGGCACTGAACTTGTGCTCAGATGTGTTTCTCTCACTGGAGAGGATTTCACCTCAGGGGTCAGTACATCATCAAGTCATTGTTTACTCATTCTGTTTGAGATTTGGCAGCGTCTGAGCTCTCCTCACCTTCACTTCTGTGATTTTACTGTGAGAAAACCAAGAAATGCGTCCACTTATTTTTCAAATCAGCAGCAACGTAATCATTTTTAGTGTCACTAATGGATCCCTATTCCAGGAGGTCTTGATCAAAAGACAAATTATCATGTTTTTATGTGTTTGTTGTGGTTCTGCAAAGGATAAAGGCTAAGAGTGCGTGACACCGACTGTTCCAGATGGAGTTCTCGGTCGGGAGGAGGGAGCCATAACTGGCCACAGGCTATTTAGAAAGGAGCTGCTTGCCCCCCACGCGAGGAGAATGCAGTCGGTTTATGCCAAGAGCTGTTTACATTTAATGCTTCCCCATAAAAGAACCCCACCCCCCCTTCCCACTGGTTTAACCATAGAAGGAAGTAGGCTGTCATTGGTCCCCATGAAGATACAAACTTAAAAACCCAAGCAAAGTCATTTGCGGCATAGATGCCTCTTAAAGACCACTGGAGGCTTCGTAGTAGGTGGCCTCATCATCTGATTTTAAAGCATGTCACTGTTGTTGTTGTGTTGTGTGTAAGCCTTGGGGAACAGTGGTGAGGTTTTAGTGGATGCGATCGGCTTTTAAACAGGTAAACATGGTAAATGGCCTGTATTTGTATAGCGCTTTTCTAGTCCCTAAGGACCCCAAAGCGCTTTACACAACCTGTCATCCACCCATTCACACACTGGTGATGGCAAGCTGGGGCGCACTGACAGAGGCGAGGCTGCCGGACACTGGCGCCACCGGGCCCTCTGACCACCACCAGTAGGCAACAGGTGAAGTGTCTTGCCTAAGGACACAATGACCGAGACTGTGCAAGCCGGGGCTCGAACCGGCAACCTTCCGATTACAAGGCGAACTCTCAACTCTTGAGCCACGATCGCCCCTTCTTCAGCACCTGATCGTCCACAAACAAAAATTATTTTTAAATGACTTTAGTAGTGTAACGAATCCAATTATTGAAATACAGCAAAAAAAAAAAACAGAAGAGAGAAAAAATGAAACCATTCCAGACTGTTTGAGGTTAACTGTGAAACCCCCCCCAGAACAATACTTTTTAAATTTAGAGAGAAATTAGGAAATAGGGGCTTAATAGTTTTATTTTATAGTTATTCACATCAGAAACGAAGAGTCTTGTAAGTCCCCTCAAGAAATGTATCCCACCTCGAGCAGCAGTAGAACATCAGCGCAGATGCTGTTGCTGCATTGCAGTCTTAACTTAAACGCACCACGTTTTTCTTTTTTGCACTGCACCAGAGCATTTGGTTCTGTTTGAACTTGTACTCCAAAGCTGGTTACAAAACTCGTGTACCTTTCAGTGTCGCCCGGCAAGCACAATTATAGTGACGCTGAGGCTAAAGGAGCACAGATTGGAAACCAGCTATAATGTAAATCTGGCAAGAAAACATCTACGGGGCTGCCACTGAAGCAACTTTATGACTAACATTTCTGTTTTAACATTTCATAGAATACTTAAAAATTCTCTGTTATCACTGTTGGCATCACTGGGTCGGATTAAAATAATAACAGATGGTGTGATTTTTCTTTTTTTGTGTGGTTGAACATTAAAACTAAGTAAATTATAAACTCCTATCTGAGATTGTCTGAATGTGTGGCAAAGGTTGTCAGCTGCCCTGGTGCGCGGGGATAAAATGATACTAGCCTTTCTAATGTTCGGAGCATTGCTCATGTCTCATTCTGGAAACGGTGATCTTTTTATAGTGTCAGTGCTGACAGCAAACCCTCTGCACGATCTGATTTGATTCCTTTGAAGTGCAGACTGTGATTTCCTATTGTAGATATCTGAGATGTCCTCAGCTTTTCTCACTGGAGTGCTATCATTGTTTCATCAAAGCCAGTTCTGCTTCATCATCATCTATCCCGAATCTTTCATTTATGTGTGTCTCCCCTCCCCTCTCTCCTAGTCCCACCCAGACTTCTTTGTTTTTGGTTTTCTGAGGAAGTCACGGGGAGGTGTTGTCAGGAGGTGTTGAAAAAGAGTAATCATAGCTTATGACACTAATCTGTTTCTGTCTCTCCTCTCTCTTTTCTCCGGCAGGTGAAAGAACGTGCAGACCGACTGTCTCACACTAAGCTATGGAATGCTCTCTGCTCCCACCATCACTAACCTCCAATCTTTGGACTGAGCTCCAAACGCTTAGTTAGCGGCTGTGCTTCTCCCCTCAGACTCTTTATAACCAGGGGACGAAGAGAAGGTGTGGGCTTACCAAGTCCTCCGCTAAAAACGCACAGAGCACTTCATCTTTTTTTTTCTTCTTCGTCTTTTTTTGTAGATATTTTAAGCAGGATTTTTGTTTCTTTGCATATTTTTCTCACCTGAAATCATATCAAGATGGATCTGGAGTCGTATCTGTGGATGGTGGTTATTGGCTTCATCATTGCCTTCGTCCTGGCATTTTCAGTCGGAGCTAATGATGTGGCCAATTCATTTGGCACAGCAGTGGGATCCGGCGTGGTCACTCTGAAGCAGGCCTGCATCCTGGCATCCATCTTCGAGACGCTGGGTTCAATGTTGCTCGGGGCCAAAGTGGGAGAGACGATTCGGAAGGGCATCATAGATGTCAGCCTCTACAATGACACGGTGCCCGTGCTCATGGCAGGCGAGGTCAGCGCCATGGTTGGTAAGTTGAATTTGCTCTTACATCCACTGAGTGACGCAGTTGCCGCTAATGTCTTAAGCCTCATTTTAGACATGCAAATCCTTATGTTTATCTGATGGACAATTTTAGGCCATGCTGGAATAAGCACCAGAGTCAATTTGATGTAAAAGCCACAACAGCACTTCTACTAAATAGACCCAGTGATTGTTTTTTTGTTTTTTTTTTAATTTGCAACCTGTTGCATGTCTGAATGAAGTTTGAAGTAACTTGAATGTGCAAAAAAAACTTGGATGTCGATGAAATTTAGGATTCATTATTTTATTTTATCCTTTACAAATCACATCAGACTTCATCAAAACTTGTAACAAACACGATTAGTGGAGAACATGCTTGACTTTTTGATGTTATAGCTGCTAAACAACTGTTAACAAACAGGAAACAACCATGAGACTGGAAATAAGAATAATAGTTGTCAGTAGCTCTGAAAACAGTCTGTAAATGCTTTTTATTAGAGATGCTTAAGTGTATTTTTCTTTTCTGTCTTCTAAGACTGTTAAAAGGCTTTTGAATGAGCCGCGATGGAAGAGAGACATTTGACTTTGTTGCCTCGGCGATTTTTTTTTTCCTGAAATTTTTTGACTCTTTAAAAGTTGATTCATTCGCTAATATTAGTTGTGATGCTAGTTGCAGCCAAGAGAAACTCCTGCGACTTCCACTCCATAGATGAAAAATGTGTTACCAAAGGTGCCCCCCTCCCCCCATCACTCCAGTGTTACTACTACAAGTTTCGATCCTTATCCAGCAAAGGGTCACACAGAGCCAAAGATCTATTTTCAGCCATTCGGCCACACGATCAAGTATTCCTACAGCAGTTTTCCTGATGTCAACATCATCCTGTCCGTCTAGGATTACAACAACACATGCTTTTTCCTAGTAAAATAATAAATAAAAACTCTTTACATTAGAAATCTTTCTCACATGCCTAAAAGATTTGCACATTGCAGTAATATATGGTATATATTAAAGAGGAAATGCTTCAGTTTTTTTTTTGTCCCCATCACCTGTAAAGTTGTAAAATAAGAGAAAAATTAAAAAATTACTTTCCAACAGCCCAAAAGACAATTTTTTAAAACTTCAACAATGTCTTATTTATTACCTCATATAAACTACTTTGATATGTATTGTTCAATATTTACCATGTCACAAATTAGGCCCTGCTAATCCTCCCGAAATCTGCTAAATCCATAGCTTAATGCAGACATAGACCTTTATAAAAGGCTTAGAAATGAATTTGAATTTAACAATAATGTTATATATATTATCCTGGGCTCAGCTGGTACTTGTGACATGCACCAATCCTCATGTATGTATCATAATTACTGTTATTAAGCAGTGCACCTCACTCACTTTCTTACTGTACATGAAAGGCACTGCACGAAGTGTTTTTTTTTTTTTTTTTTATGTATTTTCAGATCAAACTTTATTGGGGCTTTGCAAATGTTAGCTAACCTTGCAGCATTGTAAGTATTTCCTAAGAGCCGCAGGAAAACAAAACTCCTGAAGTGAAACATAAAGAGAAATTGTTGAGTATCAACTGGAGACTCGCACACCACCATTTCAGTAAAAGCAGAAAACAATGGGTCTCCCATTAGGACAATACCATTTTGATGACAGACTGCTGGCAAACGTTGATTTAAAAAGGGCAGCATTATGCACAGGGGATTCCCAAGGAGATGAAAATTCAGGTGTGGCTGGCTGCCACAGGTCACTGTTGGAGAAACGTTTTAACTGGCATATTGTTCATGCATAATTAAAGAAGTTTTAACCTATTGTTAAAACTTCCTCCAGTGCTTCTTGTGTACTGGAGGCTTTGGTGTTTTGCTGGAGTTTAAAGTCTAATTTAGGGCTGACAATGATTTGTCCTATTATCTGCTTCTCTAGGATAATGAAAACAACCGCATGTATAAAATCTCCAGCCAAAATAAGCTTTTAAAAGGTTGCCTCCCCCCCCTGCAGGTTATAAGTGTACTATGTACACCCAAAACAGTACTTAACAGCTAACTCGATGAGTGTTTCTAGCTCTACTTACCGGAGCACTGAACAGACACCATGCTAACTCAATTTATGGAAATGTAAGCCGAGAGAAATGGTACACATTTTTCTACACATACACATTCCCTAGCGCCACTCGGCTGAAACTGTTGTGAACCTCAGCTGTGTGCATGAGTCAGTGCAGTTTCCTGGTTCAGCTGTTGATTGGCTCTTTGGAGGCAGGTTGTGTCATCCCTCATAGAATACCTCTGCTGTAAAACTGTTTCGGCCCCTCTTAATTCCTGTCCTCAGCCCCCTTCAGGTCATGCCACAGCATCTCAATTAGATTAAGGTTAAGGCTCTGGCTTAGCCTCCGCAACAAATTTTCTTTTTTCAGCAGCTCTGTTGTTATTGTTTCACTGTGTGCGCTTTGGGTCATTGTCTGCTTACATCACCCAAAATCTCCAGAGCTGCAGGTCATGATCCGCTGCCCCTAAAGTTATCTTGTAATTTTCAAATTCACTGTTTCCTCAGTGATTTGACAGGGTGCTCTTTCACTACACACATTTTATGACTTTATTTATAGAGAGAGGTACCTCTCTAAACCCACACTTCCAGTTTTTCCTGATTTTAATGAGCTTTTTAAAGTCTTAGTCTCAGATGTTCTTTTCGATTTTCCAGCTTGGGCCATGAAACTACTCTCTGTGTTGAACTTTGTCTGTGTTATTGGTTTAGTTAAAATATTTGTCTCTAATGAATGTAGTGATTTAGAAGACATATTTGAGTGATTATTTCGAAACTTTTTCTCACGACTGGATCTTAAAATATTCCTCTTTTTAAATATATATAATCTTCTATGTCAAAAACACTGCAATTACTCACATCATTGAGCAATTTTTGAATAGCAGTCTTTGTTAAAGGAGGGATAAACAAAGCCTAGTGTAGTTTTCAGATTATACTTTTGTATCAGCTTCTATAAACACTGCAAACTTAAGGCAGTCATTTGGAATTTCAAATGGCACTCTCAGGCCCTCATTTAAGATGTTACATGATGTCACACAAACTGCAGATGGGAATTAACTGCTAATTTTCCCAAGAGATTGTTTTTGTGCATGGAGGCGGAGGCGGACAAATAAATAAACCAAGCTAAACGTTAGATTTTTGTCTCTGTTTTGGTCACAGGGTCAGCCGTCTGGCAGCTAATCGCCTCCTTCCTCAAGCTCCCCATCTCTGGGACTCACTGCATCGTTGGCGCCACCATCGGCTTCTCTATGGTAGCCATCGGCACAAAGGGAGTACAGTGGATGCAGCTTGTCAAGATTGGTAATGGCAGAAGATTGTATCAGTGTGTGTGTGTGTGTGTGTGTGTGTGTGTGTGTGTGTGTGTGTGTGTGCCTATAATAACTGCCCCATTTTCCAGTGAAACCTGATGGAATAGAAACCACTCTGAGATATGCCCAGTGGAGTTTGATTTTTAGAAAGGTTTCTAGGTTTTTAGTAAACAACAATCTTCAGATTGTGTTTCCAAGTACATGACTCACTTTATACCCAGTACTTTAATGAGTTTAGTTTAGACAGATAAACCTATTTCTTCCTTGTTAAGAGCCTCTGTCATACATCATACAGCATCCAATAATAATGCATACTTTAAAGAATAATAAACTCTCACGTCACCATAAAACTGGTTATTGGGATTTATTCTCATACTTAAATACATAACGCATAAATGAAATGACTTGGAATTCATTTTAGGAAGAGAACTGATGGCTAAAAACACAAAAAACTATTAAAACACAAAATTTCTAGTTGTAGAGAGTTGGCAAGGCTCTCCTGTCGTTTCCTCATTAACATTTTTCAATTCTTCTTCAGTGGCGTCTTGGTTCATCTCCCCCTTGCTCTCTGGACTCATGTCTGGACTTCTCTTTATGCTCATCAGACACTTCATCCTCAACAAGGTAGGCGCACATCACTTTCAACTAATGCTGTGTTCAGTTTTGTGACACTGCCCTTGCATTTGCAGCCGTTGCACTCTCCGCACTCACACTTAGCTGCCAATCTGGTCATTTTAATATAAGAAATCGGAGACAGACTTGCACGTGTACGCCCAACTTGTCTGAAAGAACTTGAGCACAGATAAAAACCCATTTGATATGGCAACACCCGCGTATTTGTTATGTAATGGGAAAGCTCTGGCAGACTAGGAAGTGCTGCAGATCATCCGAGGGTCACGACTGCAGGATTATATATGAGTGAGTCACGGGAAGATTTGCCGTTTGGGCCGGTGTTACTGCATAGATGGGTCAAATTAGGAATGAGTTCATTTTTGCGTCTGCGGGCTATTTGCATCAGAATATTCGATCTTTCTGTTTTGTGTTTGCAGGGTTGAGATTTGTTACTTCTGTAAAATCCACATCCCATTTAGTGTCATTTTACATTTCACCTGCCTCATTAGTCATATTAATTATTAACCTTCTGATAAAAGCAAGCCATGGTTGTGCAAGATGGAATAATTGTATTACTCCACACCTTTAAATTGACCTGAGCTAAACTTTTAGCCAGAAGATGTTCTCATTTTAGCTAATATGTTATTGTGTTGTACATGTTTTGTTTTATGATTTATTATCATTATTGTTGCATTTCCTTTTTTACTTCACAGGATGACTCTGTTCCAAACGGATTGCGAGCATTGCCCCTCTTCTACGCCTCCACCATTGGTATCAACACATTCTCCATCATGTATACTGGAGCTCCATGTAAGTGCTTATTCCCAGTATATCTCTGATTATTTAACCTGACACCAGTGTATGATCAAATTATCACCTCAGGGATGGAAGCGCTTGTTAGTTTGCTCAAAATTCCTCTTGAATGTGTGATGCCAGTACATGATTTTGTATTTTTTTTTTTTTTTAATGTGTGTTCATTAACTGCAGTGCTCGGGTTGGAGATGCTACCGGTGTGGGCCATCTTTCTCATCACTTTAGCTGGCTCGCTGGTCTGCGCAGCTCTGGTCTGGATATTGGTCTGTCCCTGGATGAGGAGAAAGATTGCAAGTAAGTATCTGTTAAATTTGGTTTAGGGTTAGGGTAAGTGTTGTGTTTAGGTATTTGGTTTTATGTAAACGAATGTCCTCACAAGGATATCCATACGTGTGTGTGTGTGTGTGTGTGTGTCCAGTCTGTCTCTCTCACGCCATGTGAAAACGCTCTGACACCAAACAACGGAAGCCAGGGCATGTGCTTTCTTGTTGGCCTCTGCCAGAGGCACTAAAGCCACCAGAAAAATCCCTGTGAACTCTCCAGTGCTCCACTTAGATTTTTGGGCGTAGAGCTACTTGGTCAGATGAAAGAGGCTAAGATCGTGGCCTGCAGTGTAGAAAGCTTTCAGGATCAGGGCTGGGAATTGTTTCCCTAATGGGAAAACCAGCCCACAGCAAAGCAGGCAGTGCTGTAAAACTCATGACACAGAAAATTAAAACATTGGAAAAAGTAGACAGTGGTGGATAAAGACAAGGCACAGCTCTGTTTATTTTAACTTTGTGCTGGATAAATAAAAGGTTCTTTGTGTAAGAGCTCAAACACTTGATCCAAAAAATCTGATCGATGCCAGAAATGCTTTGCACTATAAAGAAATATAAATAAAATTTAATAAGAAGCTGAGTGGTATTTATAGGCCATGAAAAATAATATCTATGTTTAGGCCAAAAAAATGAATGTTTTTTTCCATTGACTCGTGGTTTGTGTGACCGTGTCATGAACCCCCTAATGCCTGCGAGGATTACAGGTAAAATTATTGGTGCTAATCTGGATATTACTGCATCCACTTAAATAAAATAGGTCATAACTCTGATTGGGGTTTTTTTCTCTACTGGGGTATTCAAAGAGTCGGGTAGGCACTGGGATAATTTAGATAATCTGTTTCTTGTCAGAAGTTTTGTCTCCCGAACCTGAAAGCAGAAGCAACAGCTTTTTTTAAGCGTGAAAAGTTGCAAATAAATTCTAATCTTTTTTTTTTCTTTCCCTTTTTTTGTCTAACTATTGTTTTGCTTTCTTAACTGGCTGCCATCCAGATTGGTTTCCTTGAAATCCTTTAATAATAAAAGGCTGCCACAATACAGTTGTGGCTTTCCTTTCATGATGGATTTAAAGCAACCTGCAAAAATGTCCTAACTCGGTGCTCTTTCAACTGCTGCTTGATCTCCTCCAGGTCGTTTAAAGAAAGAGCAGGCTCTGTCGAGGATTTCTGATGAGAGCCTGGATAAGATCCCTGAAGAGGAGGAGGAGAGCCCCGTCTTCAAAGAGTTACCAGGGGCGAAGGGCACAGATGAGGCTGTGATGCCGCTCACAGGCGGCAGCAGTGACCGGGGCACCCGCGAATCCAGCAGCGAGCTCACCAACCTGGCGAATGGAGGCACTATCCTGCCAAACGGCAGGGTGTATGGTACAACTGGACATTTATAATAATATTTGATAAGAGGAGAGTAACTATAGCTTTATTTATGCGTTAATACTTATTAGCATAAATAAATTTGCCATTAATGGAGATCAAACTCGTCGGTCATCATCATTAATATCCTGCTCCCACGCAGACTTTTCATTAATCGTCTGTCTTCCAGGTCGGACACACTCAATGACGAACGGCAGCCTCAAATCCCCCATCTCTAACGGCAGCTTCAGCTTCGATGGCCACATGCGTAGCGATGGCCAGGTGTACCACACGGTGCACAAAGACTCGGGTCTGTACAAAGACCTGCTTCACAAAATCCACCTGGGCCGCATGGATGACAACGAGCGCTCCAACGCCGGCCCGCCTGACAACAATTACCGCCTGCTGCGCCGCAACAACAGCTACACCTGCTACACAGCGGCAATATGCGGCATGCCCGTCCAGCCGATGCGCTCCGAATCACGCGAGGACAGTGAAAAGCTGGTTGGTGAGGGAGGCGGCAGGAGCAACAGCGTGTCTTACTCCAAAAAGCGGATACGCTACGACAGCTACTCATCGTACTGTAACGCCGTGGCCGAGGCTGAGATCGAGGCCGAGGAGGGCGGAGTGGAGATGAAGCTTGCCACAGACCTGGAAGGGGTGGAGGAAGAAGGGGCTGCACCTCCAGGGCCGGACGACTTGGAGGATCAGGAGGAGAAGGACAAACCTGAGGTGTTTCTGCTTTTCCACTTCTTGCAGATCCTCACCGCCTGCTTCGGTTCTTTCGCCCACGGAGGCAACGATGTCAGGTGCTGCCCCCTACGTGTTGCATGACAGATAGCGACCTTTATGGTCCAGAGTACATTTCTCTGTCAACTAAATATAAAAAATCATCTTCACGCTGCTCTTTGGACTTGAGTATATAATGCCTGAATAAGGTTTTTATCTACTTTCTTGTTTGTAGTAATGCCATTGGGCCTTTGGTGGCACTGTGGATGATCTATGAACAGGGCGGTGTGATGCAGGATGCTGCCACTCCTATCTGGCTGCTGTTTTACGGTGGTATAGGCATCTGTGCCGGCCTGTGGGTATGGGGCCGCCGCGTCATCCAGACCATGGGGAAGGACCTCACTCCCATTACCCCCTCAAGGTGAGAAAGTCGCCTCACAGGAGAGTGAGTGCACATGTGCATGTCTGTGGATGCGGTTGGGTGCGTTTGAAGGAGAGTTGTGCTGCAGAGGTGAACTATCCACCATGCTTTGGTTTTACGCGCTCCATAGAGCCTCAACACGCTGACACAAACAAGTTCATAGAGGGCTCCCAGCCTCCATGGTGAGTACTTACTTTCCCACAGCCGTATTAGAATGCTTATGCACAATGTCTTAAGGGCAGTAAAGTGCAAATGAACAATCAGAAGATACTTAGTAATCTATGTGCAGACAGCAAAATGCATAAAGCAGTTTGTCTGTTGTGTAACTAATGAATGTTCTGATTTTCCCTCACTCTCTGCCAGGGAGTGACCTGCACACACAGTGTTGATGTGCACTCATGTTTATCATCAGAGGTCAGACAGATCGTTTAAGTGAAAAGATCTGTGTGTTCAAATCCATTACATTTGAGTTTATTAGGTAAAATACAAAGACTGAATGGATTTTTTTTATTACTTTTTCCTGCTATAAACGTATAAATAAAAATTTGGTGATAAATAAATCTTGATCTCAGCATTAAGCACACTATTTATGATTTTGGGAATCATCCCAGACTTTGCTAGAAATAATTCTTACTACTTTTTTACAGAAATCTGCTTTAATAATAGTATCTTAGTGGTGCCTAGGGAGTGAAATAGTAGCGCTTTTTTTTTTCTCAGATTTTTTTGACCTATTACATAAAAAATTCTGAATAAACAAGTAGACTTTCGGACCACAACAAACAAAGCCTGAGGACACTGGCTGTCTGATAACCTGAGCAGTAGACGTCTCACATCCACAAACCCGTGCTGTTGCTCTGTCCTTGACTTCAGTCTCCTCCTTCCTCTCTCTCTTCTCTTCCCACGCATAAGATGAAGAGTTTGCGCGTGTGTGTGTGTGTGTGTGTGTGTGTGTGTGTGCGCGCGTGCGTGCGTGCGTGCGTGCCCGCGTGTGTCTGTGCATACCACCGAGTTGTTTGTGTGCTGAGGAAACCGAACTCTGCAAGTCACTGTGCATTGAATGTACTGTATGTGTCCGAGCATGCATGCACATTAGGGTCTAATTGTTCCAGCAAGGCGTTTTGAGGTTTGCGTGTGTGCGTGCGTGCATGTGTGTGTTTGAGTGGCTGTGTTTTGTTGCCTGGCAGGAACATCACACAGGGTTGCAGGAAGCTGTTTGGCATTCTGGGTGAAGAGAAGTAGAGCAGGAGGGGTGAGGGAGGGCCACAGTGGGAACCGTAGCCTCTCTTCTCCAACCGCAGGGAGGGACGCCAGTCTGACTCTTGCACTTTTCTTTCCCCCCCCGTCCTCCTTTCTCCTTCCTACCCACTCCTGTAAATCACTATTTTTGTGGTTAACCCTCTTCTTCTTCTCAGCGCCCTGCTTTTTTCTTTTTCTTCATTCCTTTACATCTTGTTTTTTTTTTTTTTTTTACGTCTCACCTAAAGAGCTTTCTCTCTCTCTCTCCCCTTTTCCCTAAAGTCTCTTTCTCACGCTCACGCCCACGCCATCTCATTATTTTCCCTTCCCTCATTTCTCCTCTTTTTGTTTGGGCTCTCTCTTTTTTGTCTGTCTCCTTTCTCTCTTAATCTCCCTCCTTCCATCACCAGCTTAGACTTTTTGCCAGGACCCAAAGACAAATTTGCACTGGTTCACCGTTCTAAAGACTTGATTTCCTCCAGTGTCTGTTTCCATGCATCACTCTGAAAAGAAGTTTGTTTGGGGCAAGGACACAGAAGTGTTTATATGTGTGTCTGCGGTCTATGTGCCCGGGAATATATTTTAGCAGCCGCAGCGAACACCTAAAAAGTGCAATGTATCACAGCAGTAAAAAGACTTTTGAAACTTGAAGTATGGATTTTCATCCTTCTGCCCAGCTCTGCTGTTGAAGCACCACAGGGACAGATTGCTGCAGATCTACCAGGCTCTGCAAAGCTTAACCAGCAGAACTCAGAGAAACACAAACAATCATATCTCTTTGTGATGAGTCGATATGGCACACTTGTCCAGTTGTGTATAGTTTATTGTTGCTGTTGAGAGGTGGAGCGAATGGTGTGAGTTTTTTCTGTAGCTTTCTTGCAAGACCCTCTACTCCTACATTCTGACATGAGCTGGGGGAAAGCACAGGTCTAAGTAATACAGTTAACATTTGCCTAATGGCTATCAATTTCTGTAGGCCATGAGTTGGGGCCAAGTGGCCATTTACAAATGGGTTCAAAATTAATCAGGTGACATCGCTGGTGCTCTGCTGTCTTAGAGATTGGCTCCTGCTGCTCGACCACTCCACACTCCGCCTGCAGTGACATTTAAATTTCAGTCGTATCTTCATCTGGAACCTTAGCTCAGTGTTTCTGACGAATGTTATTGGCTGCCATCTAGTAAGAAAAAAGCCACATTTTTCTCCTTTTAAGTTGCATTTTCATGCATTTAGTTTAATTTTTTTCCCCTCTTTTATGATTTGGAAGTTTATTCTAATGTCTAATGTCTTCTCTGTGTGTGTCCTGAAAGCAGCTGGTGGCTTTAGAGAAACTGTCTTCTAGTAAGCACAAGGCAGCACAGAAACACACCAACACAAAGGCCTGTTTGTATATCACATACTGAAACTGTGTCCATTATGAATAACACACTAGTGTGTAATACCTGGTAGAAATGCTGTGTGTGTGTGTGTGTGTGTGTGTGTGTGTGTGTGTGTGTGTGTGTGTGTGTGTGTGTGTCAGATATTTAATATTATTTCTGTTTTTCAAATGTGTGTTGGGTATACTTTAAAGAACTGCTGAATGCTCTGCAATGGTTTTATATGTGGATGCCAGTGAGATCGTGCCATCATGAGCATCATCCAAGACATCACAATGAAGAATGTCTCTTTGCTCCCTCCCCCCTTCCCTTCCTCTCCCTTCCCTTCCTTCCACAGTGGATTCACTATTGAACTGGCTTCTGCAGTCACAGTCGTGTTCGCTTCCAATATCGGAATCCCTGTCAGTACCACACACTGCAAGGTATGACTGAGTGGCCTTCCAGCTGGCCTCTCAACTCCCTTTCAGGCATTTCCAGGGGACAGGGAGCTCACACTGCCTCCCAGGCCGCCGTGCTGGACTGAGCTAGAATCGCGCACACACACCGCTTTAGCTATAATTAGTGCTTAGTCATGTCGTGAGATAATTAGCTAAAATCTGTTTTAGTTTACTATAATTTTATGCCTACCTCCCTACAAGTGCTCTGCTTCTTAGTTAAATTTCTCCACAGAAATCAAAGCTCAGATTATTGTGGCAGAGAAAAAAAAGGATAATTGCAGTTTATGAAAACGTGGGTCTTATTTATTAGTTTTGACCTTCTTTTCTGTCTGTTGTGATCACTTGTACAAGCTAGGCCGAAAGCCGTGAGCACGACATCATTAGTCCAACAAAGTCAGTAACACGGGCCCTACTGTCGGGTGTGTTGTGGGGGGGAAAAAAAAAGCAAGAAAGTATTTTCCTGTGGAAATCAGCAGGGAGCCTGACTCGGTTAAATTTCCTAATACCAGTTTTACAGTTACATTTTAATTTTTATCATTAAAATCTCTTTAAACATTATCCTCTAGCTGATTTACTGAAATCCAGGCGATAAAAATTCTCGTAAGTCTGAGTTGCCTTTAATTATTACAGGGCGCTCCAGGCGGCTTTTCAAATAGCAGAAGAAGCTCTGCTCAATTGTTTTTGGTCCGATTTGCCATTTCTATCATTTCCATCCTCATGAGTATGAAAAATGAACCCTAATATTTCCAGTTTGGTAAAGTGTTTCCAACAGTGATCACAGTAACAGCATCGTTAGTAGAAATCGTTGTCAAAACGATGTAAATACCACTCATTTTCTCATAAACGAGACTTATCCTCCGCAGGAACTGATAATCCTAACCAATCTTTGAGGTGCATGAGAAGATCAAAACGAATCCATGTCCAGCCCGCTACAACCAGCCCCAGGCAGCAGTGTGCAGCCCCTCTCCCCTGTTCTTTTCAGGAACAGCAGATCGAGGCTGGAATTCGAGACGGACCCCACCAGTCCCAGTCCTCCCCTGCCCGCCCCCATCAACACGGTGTCTCATTCTCTGTTTCATTTCCACCAAGTCTCTTCCATTTTGCCCTCTTAGCACTGGCATGGTTTGGTGTGTGGGTTTTCGACCCTGCCGTGCTTGTCCGCAAGCAGACCTCAACCTCCCAAATACCTATCACCCCCCCCCCCCCCCCCCCCCCGAAACCCACCTGTCACACTTGTTTTCCACTTTTTTTTACCTCTCCATCTTTCTCTGTCTGTCTCTCTACTCATCTATCTTCACAGCGGATTTTGCATTGAAGTAATGAGTGCGCTAACAGTGCTTGTTGCATCAAATGTGGGCATCCCAATAAGCTCCACCCACTGCAAGGTATTGGTAGTGAAGTCATCCTAGAGAGCCCTCCGGGAGCTCGCCTTCATCGCTTCACCTGTAGCTGTCAATCGCCAAAGCCAATCACAACTCCCGAAGTTGACGTTTTGATTTCTCGTGCAGTTTTCCTTCAGCAACACAACCCCAAGTTTGACTGAAAGGTAGCTTTGTAAGATTAAAGAATGTTATCAGGCAGTTACGTGCATGTTTATTAGACATACAGCAAATACATAGATATCATCTTTATTTATTTATTGTTTTTTGTTTATTAAATTAGTAGTAAAAGTTTTTTTTAATAGATGAAAAACTAGGAATATTTGCTAAACAAATACACAAGTAGAGAGTTTGATGATAATATTGATATCACTAAATATTAAGCTATTGCCGTTAGCCTCTTAGCTACTTGTAAAGCTGAAGCTGGATGAAACACCCGAAATGTTTGTTTTTAGCTTATATAAGATCATACGTGCAATAATCAGTGAAAACAGGAATGCAAAAATGTTAGCTCCACTGAAGGGAAACTGCACAAGACTCAAAACTGGGTTTAAGTTACTGGTGATCTATTTGTCTAAACATCAATATCATCGCCATCCATACCTTATCTTCATTTCTCACCTCCAAATGCCTTCGCGTTTCCTTCCTAAAAACCTTGGATAATCAACTGCTCTGCTAAAATGCTAAATCTACTGATGGTTAGAGGTATATAATCGTGGTGGTGATTTGAATGATTTAGTGATTCTTATTTATTTGTTTATTTTAAATGTGGAGATGGTCCACAGATGATGCTGGACTAAAAAAAAAACCACTAGCAAGACTTGCAGCTCTTTGACATTTTAAATTGTTTGGTTTTCAGAAAGTAGCCAGCAACATCTCTCAACATCTTCAGTGTGTGTGTGCGTGCGTGCGTGCGTGTGTGAGAGAGAGTGTGTCTGTATCTGTGTCACTGGCATCCATTCGGTTTCAGTGAAGTTCTGTTGTGTATGAGTGATAATTTTTCTTTTCAGGTCTTTTGTGTGTGTGGGTGTGGAAGTTAAACCGAATGGATGGGTGTGTGGGTCGGTGTGGTATGGTAATGTGCAGTGACTCGTTTCAAAAACTCAAAAGCAATACGAACACTGAGGTCACACCGAGTTCAGAATTTGTTGCTCCGTGCTTGAGGTACTAAAACCATCAAACAAACAATGTGACCACTGAGTTAAATATTGTTCAACACATGCACACCCTGCTTTGGAAAGAGGAGAATCCAAGAAATGCTACATTAAAGTATCTTGCGTTTAAGTAGAGAGGCTACATGACCTGAATGTCTTTTCTGGGAGATATTTTTGTGAGTCTAGTAGAGCTTAGTCTTATTAAGACTGACTAATAAACCAAAAGAACAGGCTGGACTCTGTTGGCCTGACCTTCCACATTTAGTCAGCGTGTGACAGACGGTGTCTCATGTTGCTGCGGCCATATAAGAGCAGGGAAACGCGGTTTAACTCCCGCCCACCTGTAGCGTCACTAAGAGCTGAAACCACTCACTGCACGTTACTCCAACACTCAGGTGTGTCGCTTTGAGTCTTTGAACATGGATTAGAAAACAATCTCTTTTGTATTCTGAAGTTATTTCTATCAAAAGAAAGAAGTGGAAGTCTGAAATTTGCAGACAGATTTGCAAAAGCTAACTAGCTCTAGTTTAGTGCTTTTTGATATTTACAGCCTAATATTAAGTAAATAATAGACTGTTGCTACTCTGGAGCTGCTGATTTCAGGCTTCCACGGATACCAAATTTAATTTATGCTGTGATAACCTCTATAATCTGCTTGCAGTCACTAACGCAGACACTGAAAACTGATCTGATTTTGAAGAGCTGCAGGTTGCACGTGGCCTTTCTGCTGACCTGTTGATATGTTATCACCTTTTGTTCGTGTGTCTTTCTGGCCGCACTCTTTGGTGGAAGTTTTTTTTGTTGTTGCTCAGTACAAGTTTTAGATACAGTTAATATACCAATTACTACCAGTTTCAATATCAATTACATTAAATTCAAAGTATCAAAGTATTTTTTTGTAAGAGTCCATATAGTACGAAAATGGACTTGAGTATGTATGTACATATTTTTCTTATACTGTCCCTCTGTGAAGCATGTTAGCTCACCCCCTGTCTAAAAAGTTGCTGACCACACTCTACTAACTGGCTTCTTCTTGCCTGACTTCCACAAACAGGAATTTGATTCTTTTTAGCCCCATGTTTTCAACCTAGTGCTTCTGTTTGTGCTTAAAATGACCATGTAAGGACATCCATGCCGAGGTGATGTCATCTCGGGACGAGTAGAAAAAAAACGTAGTCTGAAGCCTGAGCTTTAGCTCATAGAGATTACTTTCACATACGCTGTCCTCATTTTTTGAAACTTTGCTCGTGTTCTAAATAAGCATGCAGTGTTTTATGTGGGAGCAAATTAGGAAAACCATAAAAGGAGCCCTTAAATAGAATATTTAATATTAAACTTATTATTATTGTTGTTGCAGAAGAATTTGAGGACTTCTTCAGGTGCTGACTGATACTGTTAGAGGAGACTAACACATAATTTCCACCAATCACCATCTGCAATTTAATTAATCAGCTGTTGCTGTTATCTTTTCTGTCCAATAGGGTTAATTAGACAATTAACCACTTACTGCACAAGAGAAGAGTTAAGCATTGCAAAACATGCCTTAAGAATAGCTGACGTAATCTGACTGCAAAACAATCTTGGAGAAACTTCCATCAAGAGAAAAGCGTGGACAACCTGTAGCTCTTTATACTGACTTTGGCTTTGCTGCGTTGAACGTTTTGTTCTGTGCTGCTGCTGATTATTTTTCTTTCTTCCCTCCTTGCTGCGGCCTCCAGGTGGGCTCAGTTGTGGCTGTGGGTTGGATCCGCTCCCAGAAAGCAGTGGACTGGCGCCTCTTCAGGAACATCTTCCTGGCGTGGTTTGTCACGGTGCCTGTGGCCGGCCTGTTCAGCGCCGCCGTCATGGCCCTGTTTGTCTACGGCATCCTGCCCTACGTCTGAGGGCGCAGCGCCGGGAGGGAGAGCAGAGGAGGAAAAAGAGAGTCGGGGAGAGAGAGAGAGAGAGAGAGGGGGAAACTTGGGTAGATGTCATATCTCGAATGTGTGGGTTGCTGATAGAAGAGAAGGAAGAGAGTCGATGCACAAGGGTGACGAGGAAGAAGGGAGGATGGTTTACAGGTGGACTTGGTTGTACTGTAGATGTGAGGAGGGTTGGTTCACATGCTGCCTGGCTCCGTAGTCCAGAGATCTTTTTGACTCATTTGAGTTCCCAATCAGTTTTTATTTATTCTCTTTCTTTTTGGTGGGATTGATTAAAAAACAAAAGTGTAACTAGTGTACCATTCAATCTGCTGTACATAAGACAATAACAGGGGACTTACTGGTAACTTCTAACAAAACACGTGACAGTCTCCTTAAAAAACAAAACCACGTAAATATAAAAAATACAGAAATAAAAATGATCAAAAAGCAGTTTATTCTGCTAACATAAGCCAGCAGACTCGCCTGCAGTAAATCCATATCCTTCTGCCTGAAATTCTAGGCAGCACAATCGGTCAAGTGCTTACTTTTTATTATCGTTATCATTGTTCCAAAATGCCAGGGGTGAAAAAAACAACAACAAAACAAAACTGTACATATTGTGATATTGGGTCGAGTGTGATTCGTTGTATTGCGGCTTGCTTTCAAACAAAAGAAAAGATGTGCGCGTGGTCAACCAAACCCATCCGTCATCTCACTTTCAACATGCTAGCCGGTACAACTGGGGCCAAACGGAACGGACGCCTCAGAGAGGAGCGGTGAGACTGTCACTCTGCTTTTGTTTTTTTATTATTATTATTATTATTTTTCACATGATACCATAGGAACCTAATTTACTAAAGAGTTGATTTTTTGTTTTTGTCAAGAGCTCCTGTATGTTTTTAGAGATCTCATATTTTTTAATGATGTATTATACTGTAATTTGTACTGTAAATAATGTCCTTTAAGAGTTTGGATGTGGGGGTCTGGGATGGGGGATTGGGGATGCGTGCGTGCGTGTGAGTGTGAATGGTTTCAGAAAAGTGGGTGGGCGGGGGGGGGGCCTCTTCACCTCATAATGATGTCAGAATTCACAGTTAGTTTCAACCCCCGCTGCTCATGGGAAACTCCCACCGATGAACACTTGGCAGGTTTTTCTGAAGTTGGCAGAAGAATATTGATTAGAACAAAGTGTTTTGCTTTACCAAACCCATCCACAGCAGAGGAAGTGAGAGTTGCATTCACTGTTTTATTGCCTGGGTGAATTGAACAGTATTGACAGAAGGTTCTTTTGTTAACGGCTCCCTCCTCGAGGAGATACGCAGATAGCGAGGGACAGTGAGGTTGCTCTTTAGAGAGCAGAACCATGCCAAAGTAAGTTGTTGTCACCATGTCTGTATGCCAGATAAATGAGGTACAGCAGATGCCAAAACTGATCAGATGTACAAAAAATAAAGCACTGATTAAGTTTAGTAAAAATGTTTGCATATCATCATCCATATGCCTTTGACTTTGGATAAAGCAGGAGTCATTTCCTTATATCAAAGGCTCCCTGCCCACTGATGAACCTTTACATTTTTTCATATTCAGATCATCTCAGATCTCGCACCGCGGTTATCCGAGATTATCCGAGTCCAGGTTTCAAATCTAACAGAGTGAGACATGCAAAAAGCTAAGGCCTTGTGATCTGTCATATCGAATACTTAAATTGTAAAGCGTTATGCAGACGTCGAAAGGAAGAGGACTCAATCCAAGCCACACGAGTAGCTCCTCAAAATGGGCAGGTGTTGTTTGGAGCAGAGAAGCATTTAGTCTCTCAATCACATCTGATTCAGTCTAAGCGCCATGTCATGAGGTGTGTGAATCACAGCCCGGTGAGGGTTTCAAGGCTGCTCATGCCACAAAAATATCACAAGACTTTTGTCTTAGGACTTAAGGTTGTATTCGGAGGTAGAACTGATCATCACCAGCTTTTTAAAACGGTCACCTGACCTGTAGATGAACAAAGTCTTTTTTTTTTCTTTTAATTTGAACAAACTCGATGCCAGGTGTCGCAAGTTGTTTTTGTTCTTGTGGTGTGTTTCCTCATTTCTTGTTTTGTTTGTTTGTTTGTTTGTTTGTTTTCTCTCTCTCTCATGAACAAATCTATGCTTACGTAGCCACTTGCCTTGTAACTTTGTGTTTTACTTTGTGCAGAAAAAGTAAACTAATTATGTACTGTGGTGTTTACATCGTAACCATATTGTAGAGTTATCTGAAAAACAAAAAACCCACAAAAAAACAACTGTTGCCTAATGATGCCAATGAAAGACAAACTATTAACCGTGAGTTTTTAAGTGCAAGTAAAAATTTTTTTATAAAAATAACCAGAAGTGTCTAGAGAGAAAGAGAGCGAGAGCAAGTGTGTGCGCAGTGACTCGTTTTTCATTTTGTTTCTTGTAGCGGTAGTGCTGATCCTGACCCCCGTCACCTTACACTGCTACTACAATGCATTAACACTACATGTATGGGTGCAATTCAGTAATAAAGAGGATAACTAGAGAAATTTCATCAGAACTATATTTTTCTACCATATCTGAGTTTTAACCGGGATGAGCTTCCGGACACTTTGGAGGACACTCTGTGGGGCTGATGGTAAAATCTGGCCAATTGGGATTAGTTGTTGTAAGACTGTAATCGCAGCAATACTGAGAAATGGTCTTATTTCAGGGTGCCATGTGCCACACTTCCTCTCAGCCCGGTGGGTTCCTCTAACATATAGACTGATGTGTCGGTTGCCAGTAGATCAGATTTTTAAATTACCATTTTTATTTTTGAATTTTTGATGAAAACACTTTGTAATTTTGTTTCCCTACTGCTTTGGCCACGAGCTTCAAGAGCAGCACAGCACCGTGCCAGAAAACCATTGTGTAGGACTGACCTGATGAAGATGAATGCAATGAGTGGTATCTGGAAACTTGATTGTGAGGAAATTTGTTTCCTTGTTTTTTGGCAGGTTAGCGCTGTTGAAGCTCATGGCCTTCTACTTTTCCACAGGCTGTGTGTTGTTCAATGGGGCTGCACAGAGCCGGTGTGTTCAAATCCTTTTGTGTTTGTTCTCTGATGCCCGGAGGAAGAATATTTAGAAGGAATTTTGTGATGACACAAAACATTTAGCCTCCCCCCCCACCCAGGAAAATATGCAGCAGAGATCTGAAGCTTTCATGGATGTTTTTTTCCCCTTTGTCTTTAAAGCAAGCCAGTGTTACGGCCAACTTCTAATTGCTAAACAGCTGAGGCGCTCTGGCCTCAAGCAAATGGCACAAAAATGACAAAAATTAGTAAAAGCAGACGGTAGCCTCAAAAATTTTTAAATCTCTCATGCAGTCGTGAGGATAGCATTTTGTGCTATTTTATTTCTTTGGATTCTATTTTATACTATGGCATTTATAACTGCTGAAATAAAAGCAGTTTAAACCTTAAAAATCTATATTCATAATATGAAGTCAGAAGCTGAAGAAAGACTCTTTCATTTGCCAGCTTTCTACTCTGAGGCTTGTGGAAGTTTGTTGCTCTGGTGCAAGATTTACTAAACAATATAATGAGCCGGAAAAAACTTTATTTCCTTCATGCATTAGGAGGTTTGTTTGTGATTGGACTGAGGTCAGCCGGCATGCATCGCGTGTTTGATTTGTGCAGTGTCACCATCCTCTGCTGCAGCCCCCCTTTGTAACTCACACTGTCATTTTCTATATTGTTTTCCATGCATTCTCAGTCCTGATAGGCCAAAAGGGATGCACTGCTCAAGATGGGGAGGGAAAGTGAAAATCGCCTTCTGCTGGCAGCTTTAAGTATCTGAGAGAAAGGGCTACATCCTGAGCCGGCAACAGGAAATATATACATCTAACGTGGTTCCCTGTAAAATCCGAACACTTTCAAAATTTGATCACAAACGCAAAAAAAGATTGGGCGTAGGGATGACCACGGCCCCTAGAGGGCGCAGTTTGACACGTTCCCTCCCCGTAGAGAGGGACAGCATTTTAGACGGACTGTTTCAACGATTGGTTGAATTGCCATTGAGGGAGCTGCTGTGCTTCTGCCGCATTTCAACTGTTTATCAACCTTTTTGTAGACAAAAAACGAAACAAAAAAAACAGAATGTGCCATTTCTTTCTCCCTGAATGTGCAATACAAGCCGTTTCTCGTGAAGGTGCAACTACATTGCCGTCACTTTAGTGGTCGTGTGTAGCTCCACCTGCCCTGGTGTAATAGCGCCCTCTCCTGTGTGTGTGGGACTAGCACCGCCTCCCAAAGGCGGAGCAGCATCAGCTCAGACTTTCATCTGGATGTGGCGTGCTGTCTCCTAGTTGTCGGGTCTGTTTTGTAATAGAATGTGCTCCTTGGCTGGCCTGCAGGTTTTACAGCTCTGTGATGTCTCTTTACTGTTTACTGCTACTTAACTGTCCGCTCCTTCAGAAATAAGATGCATATATATATGAATACAAATGAATAAATTAAAAAAGAAATAAAAAAAATCTAAAGAAACTGTAGCCTGCTTCTACAAAATCTTAAAGCTCTTCTGATTTGCATATATCGTACTGTAATGTTTTATTTAAGATTTAGTGAGAAAATGTCTGCATTTAAACTAAATTATGGGAATTAAAATTACAAAGAGTACCTAAAATCCACTGAGTTGTGTCTTACTTTTGTAAAGGTGTGTGGTATGTGTTTGTATGCTGCATAAGGAAAGCTGGGAAAGTGTATAATTAAACACTGAGGCTTTATTGCATAGTAGGCACAAGAGACGGATATTTAAGACAAGTTACCACATTGTTTATTTCACATAGTGTTTATTTATTTTTTTTGCATTATGGGTAAGCTAGAGAACATCTGGCAATGGGATCAGACCATCGCTGATGCTAGCGAGTTCTTGAACCACACCATTTTGTTTCCTTTTATACAAGATAAAGATGTCTCATGTTAGGAGTTATGCATGTATTAAAAATCCAACAGTGGAAAGGAGCCACAGGACCTTTGGGCCCCTACTTCCATTTAGTAGTGTTGGACCACACCCAACCTCTCGATTGTGATTACAGGAATGTAGTTAACATTGTAAAGTTTTGACTGGTTTTAGGTCCAGCGTTATTGAGGCATGCTGATAAAATGTAACCACAGAGACAGAAACACCTGATAAAGTATTCAAAAAACACCTCCGTGGCAGTTCCTGTTGCAGTATAAAACTCACAAGGTAAAAACAATAACACCCCACCCCTTATTTAGCTTATTTAAGTCAATAAAGAGACAAAAAAAAACAACTTTTGATATACAGTCCGAGTGGTTTTTTTTGTTTTTTTTTAATCCAGTCCAATCTCTGGTATTATGAACCCAACAACGGCAACTTGCTTTATACAGTGTGTAGTTTCCACTGCATCTAATATGAACTTCTGCTCATGCTGCGTCTCTTCTCATTTCCCCCCACTTTGCATGCATTTGGTTTCCTGCAGCAACCGACCTCTTTAAAGACCAAATGAATCTGCCAGATCTTTTCAGGCTGCTCTTATTTAGGGTTTTGAGCTGAAATAATAATTCACTGACTTGGCTCAGATTGCACTTTAAGTTCTCAGCAGCATTGCTGTCTGAGCTGGGTTTCATTTAATACATCTCTACAGTAACGGTGAAAAATGCTGGTTTGATGCTGGCACACAGCAAGTGACACCATTTGCGTTCAGAGGGATAATGGTTTCCATTTCACATCGGTTAAATCAGTAACCAACAAGAAATGGAAACCATAACCTCTCTGCAGTGTTTCAGTAACACACAGCCTGCGTGCTTTGTGAATGGTATTTGTCCACTTATGTGTGGTTCTCGTCCTCATCTTAATTGACAACAGACAACCCTTCAGCTGTGATGAAATGTGGCTCCTGCACTGCAGTAAAAATCTCATCAGGGTTCAGGGTGGAGGTTCACTTCATTTTAAGCCCCTGACCTCCTCCTTTGTCTGCAACCACCGGTTTGCATGCTTAACTTCAAACACCAAGTCTAATTTGTTTGTAGTATGTTGCAGATGTGTCTTTCTGTGAATCAATTTTCTATAAAGACCTTGTTTTCAAGTTGTTCTTGAAACGCGGTATGTCTCCAGATGACGATGATGAAAGTATTTCACAAAAGACCTTGCAGTCTTTTCAGTAAAGCTGTAAAAAATTAGCCTTAATTTTCAACTACATGATTCTTAAAAAGTCCCAGTCCTGCCATTGCCATCGATTGGAATTTGTAGATGCTAAAATTGTCCACTGTTCCATTCTGCAGCAGTGACGTCATTATATTTAGGTGTCATTCTTAACCTTTGTTTCTATGTGCTTTAAAAACCAAGACGTGTTTATTTTGTGTGTTATTCCAGACATATTGTCCACTGTTCCATTGATGTTTGAGATTCTTTGGCCCTAGATGGTCTGCTCACATGACACATGGCAGACAGGCCGGAGATACGGCTATTTTTGTTCTATATTGGTATTCATGTGGCGTTCGTGTGTTCAGATTTGCATAAGTTCACAGTGAAGCATAACAGATATTCGTCTGGATTTGTGCGTGTTCATGTGAGGAGGAAAGTGCAGCTGCCATAATGTGAGCAAAAAAAACACTGGAGTATTTGTGCCTTTAATAGTTAATGTGTTGTTTTTTTTCCTAACTGTGCACAGAAAAACTGTGGAAATTTTCCCCAGGTAAGTTTCCACTACATTTTAATGACCCAAGTTAGTCCAGTGGTTGTCAAGGAAATCAACTTTTACAAAGATGATTTTTGTAAATTTGAGATTATCATGCTGTTTATTTCTCCCAAACTTAATTTAACTCTGAAAATACAAGAACAGCCGAGCTGGCCTGCAAGTCAAAAACCAGGGCATAAAACCAAAAGTTCATTAGCGCCACTATAATCTCAAGGATAACCGAAGAGACTCATACCCTTGTTCTCATTTCTGTCAGAGAGAGCTCAGTAATAAAAGCCATTCCACACTGACAGATGTGCCGCACTCTTTGTGAGTTACGCAATGTCAGAACTCAAGGTGAAATCTTTTTGTTATTGTTACTAAAAAAAATAACCCACACTCAGTTTAGTCCAGTGTGTCAATCTGCTGCTGTGAATGAGGACAGGAGAAGACCAACTGAGAATGCCTTGACCTGTAAGATAGGCGTTTATTCTTTTTCTTGTAACCATGTTCTGTACATGCTCGCCAAGAAGTTAGCAACTGAGAGAAGAGAAAAAAAAAAGAAAGTAAAAAAACCAAACAAACAAACCAGAGAGCAGGATTGAGTTAGTTCATTTCCATCCAAAAACATTTTTTATTGTCCTCCAAACTGAAAGGTTTACCCTGTGATTTGGCTTCTTTGATAAGCCAAAAAACATACATTGCATTTCCTCAGGTAGCAGTGGAGGCATACAAAGATCGTTTTGAGTGAGAGAAATTAATGGAAAGAGCAATACAGGATTCTCTCCTTCAAGTCACATGATGAGTAATCTTTGCATTCATGAGTAATGGAGAGAAGATTAATCTCAGATCACTGGAAGCTTGAGAAAGTAGCATCTGATCTTCATTAAGAGAGAAAGGAGGGAGAAGATGAAAAACAAAAAACAACCACATGAAGAACAGGGTCGCGTTTCTTCCATGTTAGAAAAGGCCTGAAAACGGTCACACTGAGATAGTTTCATCTCTGGTTGCCTCCAAGTTGTGTATCGCTTTTATGTAGAGCATCTGTAGTGTACACAAATGGACACTGGATATGCAATTCAAAACCAAAGTGCCCACAGTTTATAGAAAGCAAGGTCACATGACCCAACACAGGTAATGTCACACAAAGGGGAGGGAGGAGGGTGAGATTGGACTTGAAGGTAACCAAACGCCGTCATCAGTCTGTGTTCGTGTGTGTGTCTAGTGTGTGCGGTGAAGTGCCGGCGATGCGGCACTCAGCACCATTAATGTACAGTTACTCAGGTGTACGAACAAAAAGAGAAAGACCTCCCCGTCTAGTGACTGTGCAGTTAAAAATGGGCACATGGTGATTTAAGCTCATGCTTAAGTTGTGGTAAACCATCCAAGCACTTCTTTAATTTATAACTATAAATACACAGCAGCGTTTTTACCAGAGAGGCTTCTGTCTGCTCCTCTCCCTTGGTGAGTGGAGTGTGTGACAAGTTTCTCTTAAAATGGCTAACTACGCTTTACTCATCTGCTAAAGGAAACACGGGTTATGTGGATTTGATTATCAACTTTCATATAGATTTTTCTATAATATATTTATATAGTTATTTTTCCTTTCTCTCACGCAGCCACCACTCTTGCTTTCACATTCTCTCGTCTCACTACTTTTATTCAATGGACAACATAAAACATGGGGTGGAGTGGGGAGCAACAGAGCTGAAATGACATGATCACTGACAGATGATCACTGAGAGGAAAAAAAAAAAAAAGCCAAGAAGAACTGCAGTCTTTTTGTCATCCATTGGCAGTTGGACTGACGCCGCAGTCAGCCAGTTACAATGGTGGTTTTGAGGGGAGGGAAGGGCCATGTCATCAAAGAGGCGGCGGAGGAGGCTCTTTCTTCGTTGGTGCCGTTTTAGTTGTCGTCTTCGTCGTCTTGGTAGCTGGGGTCGTCTCCTTCAGGTTGAGGTTCTCCAGCGCCACGTCTAAGGTCATGACCTCAACACAACCCATGGCCTCGAAGTCAGCGAAATTCCGCAACGAACCGTGACAGTCATCCTCGTCCTCGGAGGAGGAGGCTGAGGCGTCCTCGTCTGGTAACAGTGTGGACAGCAGCAGCTCCGTCACGAACAGGCTCCTGTCGGCCCACTGGGCCTCGCACGCCTGGCGCTCTGCCTCAGACAGCCGTGGTTCGTTCAGCCTGCACAGAGAGAGACAGAAGGAGTGATGAGAATAAGAAATTTATTTGTAACATAAAAATCCTGTAACTACTTATTCCGCACTGAAAAATCCAAAACGTCTACTACTGGACACAAGATTTAGAGGTAATGCCAAACGTAATGCTTGCAGATAACTGCCTTAAACTAAGATTTAAAAGGAGTTTCTGATCACATGTTAAGCTGTGAACCAATGAGTGGATCACACATACATACTCAAACGAGCATGCACGTGGTTGTTGCTAATTTTTCCACTCAATTTCCACGTTCTCTGCACAGAAAGAATTTCTAAACACAGGTAATAAGTAAAATACATTTAAAAAAGAAAAACAAAAGAGACTTGAAAATAAAAACATTTAAAACTGGCACACCTGCTGAGTAGAAACTGGGAGCTATGTGCAGTATGCTGTGTGTTGGGCTCGGGTGGGCCCGGGTTAGGGCTTGGGTTGGTATTATGGTTGGCGCTTGGGTTGGGGTTTGCAGTGGCTGAATTGGTATTTAGAATAGCATTGGCTCGGCCGCCACCTCTGGTGGCATTTCGGGCAGTCTCCAGCTGTTGACGTGCTGCCTGGGCCTGCTGGCGTTCCAGCTGGAGTTGCATCTGAAGCTGCTGGAGCTGGGAGGCAGACGGGCCCGAGCTGAGCTGACCTCCTGCTGAACGCCGTACCCCCGACAACTGAGACAGAAGCTCTGGAGGAACAGAAAACAACAGTGGTCAGTGTAAAGCATTAAAGCTGATCATACTAACTACAGATGATAGCTCAATAATACATTTC